GGAATCTCAATGTGCTTAGCATTGTTGGAGAGTGCCCAGGTGTCATGAAAGGCTTTTTCAAATTTATACCAGGTATATGTACATGTATACGTACATGTTTGTACATGTTCTTATGCTTCACGTGCATGTACACGTACAAATAATGTTTTGTTAGAAATGTTCTTGCCACGGTGACGGCACTATAGTCATCAACTTGGCTGTCTGTATGGAAGGATGTGTTGTTAGCAATATTGGCAATTTTACTATCCCCTTGAATGAAAAGAGTACATATGCCTCCATACTTCCAGAGCAAACCAACTTCATACAGATTTCCACTGCTTTTGTCAACAATCAACCACTGTGACAGTCAACCTGTTAAAGTACATGTACAGAGTGCATTGTATTGTCATCGCTGACTCATCATAAGCATATTCAATTCCTTGCTGTGGGCTTTGAGCGGCATTTTACAATTTACACGTTTGCAGGTGTGGTTGCCCTCACATGGGCATGTTAACCCTGTAAACAAGCACCTTTGTTCAATTTCAACCCTGCTTCTGGTGAATGCAACATGTACACCTAGGGTACACGTACACAGGCTATCGTAAGTGTGCGGACCATGGCTATTTCCAGCAAGCTCTAATTTCTTGTACATGTACATGCATGCATGTACATGGTTAAATAGCAGTGTGGAGTATTATGTTGTATTTCATTTGCCAACTGCCCACTCTTACTGGTAGAAATTAGATTATATGTATACCTTATCTTCTTGGGGTACATGTACATGTAGCTTAGGGTTAAAAAAAGTTCAGAAACTGGTAAAGTAAATGGACCATCTGCCATCTGGAGCTACCTGAGAAATAATCTCTTAAATTATCATGCAGTATTAGCACTTTTGTCTAGCATTCATATAATGTTGAACAAACCAATGAAACAAAGTCATTTCCAAATATGTGTCAGACTGTCAGGTGATACTTTTTGAAAAAAAATTACTGTAAATCTAAGGAGACGTTTTCCACACACCTTCTCAACCCAAGGCAAGTACATGTACATGTAGAAGTTACAAGCATCCTTTTTGTCACAGAAAAATTGCAGACACGTTTAGCCTGTAGTTCATTGACTGGGCAACATTTTGTGTGTTTTTATGAAAACCACAGAGCTAAAACTATACAGTTTTAGCACCTGTCTCAAGATTTTTTGTAGCAAATTTGGTATTATACTTCCAATGAAAGATACAGATGCCCCCAAAATGGCAAACAGTCATGTCTACTTTAATAAAGCAGTTGAAAATTGCCCGATATTATCTGTTTTGCTCAGCTTTTTTGGTGTTTTTTTGTTTGTTTATTGTTTGTTTTTTAAATGCTTAAAAATGGAGCAGGAGTTGTATTGTTTAAGCTACTACATGTATATGTATAAGGTCAAGTCTCTGTCCAAATGTTTTTCAACATCAACAGGGTTACAGGTTGCATTGCTGTGGCTTTCATTCTCTTCAATAACTCCTGGGTTGGGTTGTGGGGGACTTGTTTTGCCGACACTTAAACTGCATTCTTGAGAGTCTCTTGCAGTGGAATTTCGTCACACCCACAGATGCTTCACTTTAGTTACTGCGCACCAAGCCAGCAGGCACTTGTGGGTGTCGTCCATCAATTTAAGCCCCATTGAAAACAGTATAAAATCAGCATTGGTCAGGGCTCAGGTCAGGAGGTTAACCAATTTCATTTTTAATTGTTCACTCAAAACAACCCCCCCCCCAAAGTGATACATGTAGTTCCAAAGTCTGCCTGCAGCCATTTTTCTACTTTATCGGGCACTTACTGGACATGTGTACATGTAATAACATTTTTCAACTGCATCTTTAATCCATTTTGCCCCCACATGGAATCCAAAAGAACCAGGAGTTGACCCCAACAAAAATTCACCCAATCTCACCATTTGGTTGAATAAACAGTCTCCATTTTCAGAAGAAGCTTTGGGAGCAGTTTCATGCTAATCAGTTGGGCAGAAATTGTCACTTGATTTAGTGAACAGCACCTTAGTGTACATACCGCATGAAAGAATACATTTTGTGGTACACTATGTGCAATTTCCCTGGAACCTATGGTAGCTCACCACTGCACCAGCCTGACAACAAATGCCAAGAACTGTTGCAACTGCCAGTGGGGTCCTTGCCTTTATAAACAAACTAAAAATGTATAAGGCTGCAGACATGGGATGTGCATGTACCTGTATACTTGTCTGTACAGTACATGTATTGGTACATTGTACGTAATGGTACATGTACATGCCTATTCATGTACATGTACATGTATTGTGCAGATTACAATGTACAATGTATACACGTATGATGAATGAGCACATTTAATTTCAAGACCATGCATGTGCTCCGGTTCAAGCACATGTATGCATGGATGACATTTTAAATCTCAATCCTTTGGAAATTTTTCACATGTTTTTTTTTCATTTATGCCCAATCCAGCCAGCTGCAGCTACATGACAAGCAGCATCAGTGGAAGCTGTGTAGAAAAGCCTGTCTTCTTTGTATAAATTGTCAATGTAATTGTACCATTACATACATGTACGTCAAAGCAGCTACATTGTACATGAACATGGTTTCAACAAATTTTATTCATCTTTGTGCAATGTGCTAAGTGGATAAGAAAATGAATTCAGCATTTGTGCTATTTGCAAGTGCTTTGACATGCAGCATTTGGTCGTTTGCTGTAGTGTCGCACCATTCCACCATGCAGTTAGACTAGTGTGAGCAACGTTACATGTACACTGTACCTGGTGAACATCTTGTGTGATTCGGGACCAGATTGGAATGGATGCCTGTTTACCGAAGCATACTTTTCATCCAGGCTCTGGGTGGTGTTGCAGACACCCTTAATCCCAGTTGGAATCTCAGCAGGGTGCCCCATTACCTCCAACCAGCCCCAACAACTCTCAGGAGAAAGCAACAGATGACAGCACACTTCAGTGGGTCCCCTGTGCAACCTTTTAACCCCTCTGTAAAAAGCTCCTGCTTGTAGTTTAGGGATACTATTTCCAACCCAGGAGAAGAGTGAAAGTGGGAAATGTTATGGTTTAAACAGGCGGCCAGGAAATTCAAGATGGTGAAAGTAATGAACCCCTGCTGCAAGTGTGTACAATTTGCCCAGTGGCCTTTACAAATGAGTTGAGGGACCTTGCATTCTGTTTTTAAAGGGTAAAGATTTGTGGAACCTGGAATGCCGTATTTTAATAGATGGGGGGGGATGCTCTGTGATCAGTGTAATTTTTCTGGCCACTTTAGCTTTAGTTCTGCCAATAACATTACATGTACATTACATAGATGTACATGTACATCGGCAAGAACTGCAGAGGAGGTATTTGCAAAGCAATCAAGTGACTAATGAGGAACCAACAGCAGGATTGGTATTGATTGCAAGAATACATGTAGGCTCAAATCTCATGAGCTCTTGCGACTAATGACTTTGCTATGACAAGCAGGTGAGTTGGTTGAGGGGTAGTCGGTTTGGTGTAGTGGCTCTTTCCTTGCCCTCCACCTCTGTGGCCCAGGTTCAAATCCCACCTACATATAGGTCAGGAGATTGGGTTTTCAGTCCCTGCCAGATGCTGTGGGTTTTCCCGGGAATATTTATCTGGGGTTTTCCTCTCGCCTCTACAACTGAACATTGTTCATTGTTGTCTTAATTGTTACTTCATCCTGTAATCAGTGCAGAATGCACGCTGTTGGATAAACAGAGAAATAAATAGAAATGTGCTATTGGATGAACAGATATGAAAAAATATATATAACAGAAGTTAACTTAAACAGGAATGCAGCAGCTGTGCATTGTGAAGCCACCTAACAAAAAATTAATACCTAAATCTCACCGTCCATATGATCTTATGCTGCTGGAGTGCGGGAAGGCTACATGTATGTACTTTGTAGAACAATAGGGATATTTTGCTCAGACTAACACGATGCAGCAGAACCTACACATGTACCTTGTTGATTCTGCAGTGTTAGGGCTGAAAATAGCCACACCTACATGTAGTTCAGAGTTGTTTGGCCCTTTCATGATGTGGATCCCTACTCTACATTCTTGGTCCTTGGTTGAAATTCAGACTCCAGCCTGCTGTTTACATTGCCAAGTAAAGATCAGTGTGACCACTGACCAGACTGTCATTAATCATTCTGTACTTGAAATACCCTCTGAAGTAGGACTTATGCAGGTTGGCCCACAGCAGAATGTAATAAGCATTGAACTCTGAACATTAACATTCCTCTGGTTTGGTTCTAAGCTCTCCAGGTCCCCTTATCTGATAGGTTTGTACTTTGAAACACCATATTTGTCACCTTGCTCACAGTCATCATACCTGAAATATTCCTTTCATTTGACTAGGATTAAATTTTATCTCATACATGTACATAGTTTGTGTCGGCTGAAGTAAACAACTGATTCTTGACAAGATTTCTACAAAAGCAACAGTATGAGGGGTCCGTTTTACTCTAAAGGATCATGTAGTCCCCTGTATTTTTTTCCATGAGAGAAATTTACCTGTTTGTACATGTATGTGATGGGAAATGTGGCTTTAACTGCATTGAAAACTGAAAAGGGTTCTGTTATGTGGATGCTCTCACTAATAATCAATTGCATTCTATGAAGTTGGTACATTGCAGTGGTAGTCTATGGCACTCCTATTGCAGTTACTACAGGGTACGTGCAAGGTGAATGCACCACATATTTTTTTAACCATGGACCTCTCTGATCCTTCAAAATCCAACAGGTGGTTTTGGAGGATTTTGTTTGATCAAGGATGGTAGAACCCAGCCTTTGTTTCTTTACATGGGGCTTGGCGCCCCTTGAAAGTGGAAATTTTGCAAAGAATGCCCAGGTATATGTACCAAATAATGGTTTTGTGTACAGTGGAGGATTTGGAGGATGTAGATTCCTATTAAGAATGAGGAGGCATTTCGGGTCAGAAGCTTGGTCCTGTTCAGTAAGGCTCAGTGACCGCTTTCTCCGTTGCTTCAACAGCTCGACGCCGAGTTCCGCCGCTTCTCCATTTCGCACTCGGAGCAGGCCACCTTTGAAGACTTCTACACATTCCTGGAGAAGATCCACCACCTGTCCAAGATCCCATTCCTGATTGGCTACACGGATCCCCAGGGAGAGCTGCTGCCCATCAACAATGATGACAACTACCACAAGGCGCTCACTATGGCCAAGCCACTGCTGCGCCTCATCGTGCAGAGAAAAGGTTAGTTGAATTGTGATCTATCCTTCTCCCTGAATCAAGTTAACTGGTTTCCTCTTAGTTTGACCTCTCATTCCATTTCAGAATGAACCATTGGGATGCCATACATTAGCTGCAGCAGCGCCTTAGCTGCAGTAGCAACACGCTCATGCACAAACTCTCAACTTTGGCAGGTCTTAAACACTCAATTGGCAATTACAGCACCCTGTTGGTCTAAAAAGTATTAACACCTGCACAGCCTATATGTGAATCATGGCTTCTAATTCTAGTCATTGTCTGCTGTGTGGTATTCTCATCAGTAACCAATCATATTTTGACAATGTTGATTGGTACTGGTGTTTATTACCATCATCTTGTGGCCCTGATAAGATCCTAGAGCATACTACGTAATCATGGTTCTGTTTCTGTATTACAGATGAAACCGAAACACAACAGTTCAATATGTATGGCAGCTCAAAGAAGAAGAGCAAATTTAGTCTGGTGGGCACTACCCCCAAACCCCTGAAGCCAGTACTACCCATCAGCCTGCCACAGGATTTCCGCCGTGTCTCAGCCATCATTGACGTAGACATCGTCCCCGAAGCGCACCGCCGGGTCCGGCTCCACAAGCATGGCTCGGAGAAGCCACTGGGCTTCTACATACGGGATGGCACCAGCGTCCGGGTCACCCCCCACGGACTGGAGAAGGTGCCGGGCATCTTCATCTCCCGGTTGGTGCCCGGCGGCCTGGCAGAAAGCACCGGACTCTTGGCCGTCAACGACGAGGTGCTGGAGGTCAATGGCATCGAGGTTAGTGGCAAGACTCTGGACCAGGTGACGGACATGATGGTCGCCAACAGCTCCAATCTGATCATCACCGTCAAGCCGGCCAATCAGAGGAACACGTTATCGGGTGGGAGGCATCCCGTCTACGCGCCGGCTTCCTCGTCCCTCTCCCGGAAGTCGATCGCATCACTGAATGACATTGACGACGACAGCGATGAAGACGAAGTGAAGGACTTGACAAAGCAGACCAACAGTTTGAGCACAGGCGAACAACAGCAGCACCAGGAGGAGGGGTCGACTGCAATGAGTGAACAAAATCCACCGAGTGAGGACCAACCCTCAGACCAGAGAGCTGTGGCTCCAGGCTCCAACCAACCCTCAGAGGGTCATGTTCAAGAAAACGGTGCTATGTCTCCATCAGGCGAAATTGTTGACGACGACGATGATGACATATGCACTCTTTGAAAAGAGCGAAGCAAAATGAGGACAATGGCAGGAATTCAGTCAGTCATTTGTGTCTTCTGAGGACCTATAGCATAAATTACGAAGTGTTGGTTCTTTATTGTTGTCACTTCTGCTTGGAAATCATTGCATACACACCTGTATTAGACCTGGAATGATGTGGGAGCCAGAGGAATACGTCTTGTCATGGACCTGGTGCCGGTAGATATGCCTCAGTTTCTGAGGTCGGTCCGGAGCTGTACTTCGGGCCTTTCCTTGTATGGCCTGAGGTTAACTTTGTTCATGTATATCTACACAAGGGATGATCCTGCAGATAAAAACCTGAGAAGTTATGCTTATGTTGGAAACCTGGAATTGTAATCTGAAGTGCCGGTGCAAGTATGAATTGGCACGTGTACATGTACCCGGTGCACGTGTAGGTGACATGGAGGAATGTACTTTTTATTCCTCCATAGTGCAACTGACGTGTTTTGCAAATGTTCAGACTTGTGCTTACACATGTTAATTCTAAGGCTAAGCCCGACAATGTCCAACATGGGTCGCCTTCCATGGGGTGTCGATGATGAGAGCAGCAGGCATGCAACTTTTCCTCCTTTCCTCATTTTGTACTTCACACTCATGCCAATGAAAATTGAATAACACTGTACAAAGTTTTGTAAAAATTGGAATTTCCTCGTTTTTTGTCCAAGTCCATGTTGCATGACCGGAGCAGTGATCAAAAGATCAAAAGACCTTTTCACATGAGCACCGATAACAGAGGTCCTATGCTATGAAATCACATCGATGTTACAATCACAGGGATACCGTGTCTTGTGAAGGTTGACCTCTGTCAAAAAAATGCACAGTTATAGCACGGGTCCCAAGCGATCGTCACGGAGATCGAGACCTCCTCCCAAACTTGGCATCAATGTGAAATCTGTGTAATGATCACCGCAATTGGCCGTGTGAATGCAAAGCACGTGATCGTTGCGAGGGTCCTTTGAGTTGAATCTCATCACGCATGCGCACCCATTTGTTGACATCTTCAAAAATGGCGGTTGGCTACTCCAAATTGTGATGTCGAAAAATGGAAGGTCTTCATTTCTTTGTTCCGATCGGGCTGCTTAATCTAGCATGTAGGCTAGCAGAACGGAACATGCAATAAACTACATGAACTATCGAATTCCACAAAAAATGCATTGCCTGCAAACGCATGGCTGGAAAACCGCAGGTACCGCATGATTCTAACATTTAAAACATAGCCACCATAGTACCGGTACCAGTGATGCAATTTAACCTTTGACCGCAATTGCAAATCGTGGCAAAACGGGGAATGTCGGTTACGCGATAAACATTGCACTTTGTGAAAGCCCATGAAGAAATCTCACACATCATAAGACACAGACACTGTGGTGCTGACTGTCGCAGATGTGTGGTTTTGGCGCTCGTGTGAAAAGGCCTTTTTTCTGTTGTTGGATTCTGTCGGGTTCAGCAGGGTGCGTAGAGAAAATCTGCCGGTGGTTATTGTCTACACGTATGGCCCCTGTACAGGTATCGTATGTACATGTACAATGTATCGTCAAAATTGTGAATTAATGGAATGAAGTGGTCGTGGGAGTATTCAATCCAAGCTTCCGTCGTATTACCACCTTGCATTTATACATGTCTGACTGTGTCATATCACTAGACAAATGATGAGACAGATGTGTTTATGTAGCATTCAAAATAGCCGTTGGAAATTCAGAATTGAGTGGTGATGGGGTGCCCATTGAAGGTGTGCAGAGCACAAAATAGCTTTGTTGGGGTTGGATTGTGCACATGGCCAAACCTGTTGCTGGCAGATGCTCACGCATCTCTGTTTTTTTCCTTTGCAGAGACAGGTGCACCGTTAAACTTGTTAACCTAGCACCTACACATTTCAAAGACATGTCCGTTGTCACCAGACACCAAGTATGGGGAGAAAATTCCTGACAAGTCAAAGAGCCATGTCACGCTTGGCTCGGTGTTTGTGCCACAAGTGCCTTCAAATCTGCACATGTTTTGTTCAATGAGGATACTGTCTCCATATCATGGTACAACTGTACAGGTCGTTTAAGGCAATGTGTATGTTGGCCATGGGGGTTGTAAAGGTTGGCTGTTTTTTAGGAGTATTTGTAAATTCCCAGCTTTAAATTTCTTGCTTATTGTCCTGTCTTAGATGTTCAGAGAATGAATGAATCTACAAGAATATGCTGTACCAGGGGTATCATGTACAAACATGTAGGCATGTTCAGAGGTCAGAACAGCCTTGTAAACATGCATACATGTATACATGTACATGCGTAAAGTAACGTGTTGCCTTTCTTGTGCCCAGAAGAAATTTGAATATTTTTTGTATTCGTGAGCCATTGTATGAGTTGAAGTTTCTTCAGTTTTTTTAGAAACAATTGTGTCGTGATGTTGCTGAGGTCTAACTTTTTATCCGTCTTCCAAATCGAGATTGCAACTGCACATGTACGTGTATATGTACACTGTACATGTACATGCAGCCAGGAATGCATGCTGGCTGCATGTACTAGTATACATGTATGTACGATGTACAATGTAGTCTCCTAATCTTGTACACAGTACAGAATGACATCTTTGCGTTGCAGTGTGCAAAGAAACCTGAAGGCTTCTGGGTTCTAAACCTTGTTATTCCTAGTCAAAGGTGAAGTCTGTGTAATCCTCAGTGAATGTTTTCAGTGTTGAAGTTCTTTTTTTCTGCTGCAGCAGCTGCAGCTGTTCCTGCATTGTGTACATTGGGGTTTTGTTTCCATAGTGTTGATTCCAAATTTAAGATATATTATTACCAAATCAGAGAGAAGTGGGGAAAACCAAGAATTTTTAAAAGTAAAATCACTATGGAACAAAGGTGAAGGATGTACTTCCTTACAGTTTAAGAGATAACCACTTTTCAATGTTTTTAATTAATGCTATTGAGACATCTCAATTTTGAGAACTCAAAATTACAAATGAATTTCAGCAAAGCTAACAGTTATATAATTCAAATAGTCAAATGTATGATTCACAATTTAAATGTACTGACGGCCTATTCACCCAACTAGATCATTTTATTTTGCAATAATTTCTCACAAATGTTATGTTAAGTTTGGGCACCAATTGTTCACTACAGATGTTGTCCATGAGTGTTGAGTAAATGTTGCTGCACATTTCACTGGCTTAAGTGGTTTAGTCACTAGGGAAGGGCAGTGTTGGAGGTGGGATGTATACAGCGAGTAAAGATTTTATAAACAGGTTTATGGTATAACCCATGTGCAAGGCTGTATTGGAATAACTTGGCCTTGGCTTAAAATGAAGCACAAGTTCGTGGTTGTGGCTGCAGCTACTTTTCTAGAAAGCCGTGTGTAATTTCAAGCTGCAACCAAGTAATTCTGATACAGCCTCAGTAGAATATTTGTACATGTATGGCACTTGGGTTCGAGGTGAGGATGAGCACATCCAATTGGTGGGAATAGACAGGGTCATGTGATATTCCTTATCCAATCAGATCAGATTATATTAAAATTGCTCATACTGTTTCACATTTACTCAGGCGTGGCCCTAGTAACCAACCGAGCTTGTGTCCTGCAGTACAGTGCAAAACCTTGATGGTTATTGAATTTCAGTGCTGCTGAGGAAAACTTGACAGCATTGTACATTACAGTACCTCTGCAATGTTGTTATGTGTAGTGGCAGATTGGCTCAAGTTAAGTATTTACATAGATGTTCTGTTGCCTTTCAGAGTGCAAATTAATTTCAAAAGTTAATTGCCACACGACCTCTTGACCTGGGCCAAATATCATAACACTGCTAAGCACACAATTTTGTGCTACAATGTACATGTAGGTATATGCACATGAAATGGTGGCTGGGCTTTTCAGTTAAAAAGTTACGTAAAACCAGGTGTTTGATTTTTTTTTTGTTTATTAAGATTAATAGGTGTAATAAATGACTAATAATAATGCCCCATAATTTTTTCAAAGGGAAAGGTTGGAATATCGTTAACCCTAACAGTCTTTATTCCTCCGATTTCAATTTGGTTTTACATACACCCTGTAGGGTTAGGGTCAAAAGTGAACACTATTCTATACAGACTGAAAGGATAGGCATGTTACCATGTGCGTGTATACTGTACTATTGTAACTAGTATGCACATGGACCTGTCAGATATAACCTACTGTGATACAATTGACTTCACATGTTCAAATCCTGAATACATTTTCTACTAGCCTTCTAACATTTACATTAAATTCTGAAAGTTTCCATATAGAGTTCGATCGATACCAGTTCCCTTGTTTATACTCGTAGGTACATGCAGGTCTCACTTACATGGGCGTCTGTTCTGTTTTGACATATTGCACACGTGCCCGGCTTATTCATGTAAATATTTGCACAAAAATCATCCAAAAATGTATTTTTGATAATGTTTATCATACACTGATGGGGAAGGCATATTTTACAAGTTGGCGGTCATTACATTTTGCATTTTGTACGCGGTAAAAAGAGTAATGAACGTGTATATGGATTGCAATTGTTGTTGTCAAGTTTCTCACCAAAAATTAATGTTGAAAATACAAAATATTGAAAATACACTTGTAAATTGTACAAATGATTGTTTACCTTGTAAAAAATGGGCAATTTTTGATAGAATGTTGTGAAATATACTTACTTGTGATAATATCTGGGCATTGCACTGCAAATGAAAGATATTTTTCCTTTGGAACTCCTAGTTGTGACTTCATATTTGTAAAGAGTTTAAAGAAAAAAGAAAACCTCTGTCCATTCGTGTAGTGTGAACAAATTCAAACCCACCAACCATTTAGTATTGCATGCGTATTCTTGAATCAGCTGAAATGTAGACAAGTCCTCCCCCCCCCAAAAAAAGCCTGCACCTGTTTAACTGTGTAGTGCAGTAATCGTGTCTGAGCAAGTTACTCATCAAGTGTAAAGCCACCTTCAAAGCAGAAGTTGATGTAACTTTGAGGCATAGTCTTCAGCTTCGTCAGATTGTATTCAACACATATAAAATCCAAATGCCCAGTTTAACATACATGTATCGTAGAGTGGTTGCAGGTTAGAGTTATGGGTGGTCATTGCTGTTGTAGACAGGTTGTGTTTCTTTTTGTTTGTTTGTTTGTTTGTTTGTTTCAGCTTTTTGTTCCAGTTGTTGCTTTACTTCTTTGAACTGCTCAGTACTCCTGTTTGCGTGTTGACTTTAATGCATAAAACAAATTTCAAAACTGGAATTTCCACCATTGTTATCAGTTCACGTAGTACAATTCCACTCCCTCTAGATTTCAAAAGGGTATGGAGTAGTTTTTCAATGGAGACGGTCATCCATGCAGAAACACGGGGGGATTTCCATGCATGTGGACTAGATAGATATCCCAAAGTGGACAGGATTAAAGACAAAAAATGACACATCGGGAATGATTTGTAAATTGCACGGTATCGTTTTGTTTTGGGTTCCTGTCTTGTTGCTTGAAGGTGAAAAGTGAGTCTGCAAGACTTGTATTTATGAAAAATGTTTAAAATGCTAGTTAGTATTCAGTTCATTGTTAACTTTTCATTTCTCTTTTGCAGTGTTGATGCAAAAAAGGTCTCTGTACATTGTATTAATCAACCCACTTGTATTAAGCACAGTAATTGTTTTTGTAAAGCGTCACATATCGTTTCTTTTAATCTAATGTACTGCTATTATTTGGGGGCAAATGTAGAGGCTTCATATTTTAGATTACCTTTACATTAATTTAAACTGAACTATTAAAGTTAATATGATGTATTCCGATTGCGGCAAGGATGATATGAGAATAGAACAAAGTGTATGTTTTTTGGCATAGATTAGCTGCAAACTCACTGTACGCAGGACAAAATGACCTTTCTTTTGTTTAACAAGAGCTTCTCTGCAAGAAATATTTCTCTGAACCGTATGCAATATTCTTTGTGTGGGCAGGCTGCTAGTGTTTGGAAGTGTGATATACCTTGGTCTCACATCGTTTCTGTGATGTTAGTGGTGTTCTTGGTCTGGGCCATGCTTTTTCCTTTTTTGTTACTACCGTAAGACCTCTAACAGTGCCCCATTTGTTCCTAGGAATGGTTGGATATATAGATCTGTGGCATGAATTTGAAAAGGTGAGAAGTGATGTGCAGGATTTGTGCACTTTGGTTGATACTGTCGAGGAAATGTCCTCGCTCATCACGTCTAGGTCAGAGGTGGTTGTAAAAATTTAAATTCCTTGCACGTCATATGCACTCAGAATAATCGTCCATTTCCCCGTCCCTGCAAATAATGTATTCTGGGTGAATATTTTGCTGTCCAATTCACGTAGAAGATGCTCTTTTTTCAGAAACACAAATCATACTTTTTATGAAAATAGATTGTTTTGGCTACGTGTACAAACGAGACCAGTGTTTCTGGGAGGAAATCTGATGATGTACCTTTTGTATTGAATGGAATGAGAAAACTTTACCATACAAACCTAACACCTGTTCAGGTCTATGCATATTTTGACACAGAAAGAAATAAAGAGGGGAGACATGACGAAGTAGAACCATGAAATTTACCTTCGCTCTGACTTTATTGTGTTGTGCAAGGAGGTCCACATGGAGTCCTGCTTTAATTGTGCACCACGACCTTTTACCGACACAATATCCACAAACTACAGTTTACAACATCCATTCACTAATCTTCACCTTACTCAAAACCCTGCTGTAATTGGCACATTTTCTTCTAATAAAAACTGAGCCTGTGTTAGGAAACCAACATGTAAGAATGGGATAAGTTGAAAATTTAATTTCCAAGCTTTGGACCAGAGATGATGGCACTGCAATACTCCTGGGATAAAGCAGGTATTTGTTACTAACTCAAAGCGGATTTGAAACCTCAACGCTGATTGGTGCATGCTTATCCCAAAGCAACAGCGCAATATCAACTGTCAACTATCAATAAGTCTTTATTCCATACCAGGTATGTTCTATTCATGGAAATTAAAATACCCACACAACTAAATATACTGTCAATAGCTCGACATGATGAACATACCACGTAAATAACATTCCCCCAGGAGGCTGTCATTTTTAATGAGGCAAATCTTTCAAGCACTCGGAGTCTCAACTGATGGGACCACAGCTCAATGGGAAATCTTGTGTACACTGACTTGGTGTTGGACAGTTACATGTACATGAAAACGTGACATTTCTGACTCGCACGCACAGAACATTTCTGCTTTCCGATGCCAAGAGGCTGAAGGCATTTGCTGAACTCATGCTCACAGAGCATATATGGATATGGAACACTGAATATGACCGCATTCAGATTATACACATAGGTCTATTATTTCCCTGTGCCAACTATGTACTGGTGATTACGAGCTAGTGATGTTTTTAAAGCTAAAGATTTAAAATAATACATCTCCATTTCCATAGAATGGGCATTTTCACTCTTCATTACACAAACCCAGGATCAAATCATTCACTGGTTCTTAAATCACAGAAAATTCGAGCAAAATGTTAGCTGGATATCCATTCAGTGATTGTTAACTTCTAATTTCAAATAAACAATAAAAAAAATAGACAGCCCCAAACTGTGCAACCATTGTGGTACATGTTCCGACAGGTCCGACATTCTGATCCCAGCAAAATATTCACCTAATCATTGAATGTCGCCCAAATTTGTCTTTCAGAAAGACTTCTCAGATATGCTTAAAGCCGTCCTCTTAAAGCTTATTCCACTTTCAAAATAAATACACATTAACTTTATCTTACACATGGGCCATATTTACACTTTTGCGCCCCGTTAGTGTAATGTGCCAAATCGGTTTACTGGAAAAACCAGCAAATTTCTAGTCGTGCACAAACACCATAAAAAAAGGATAAAATTTCCTGCTTGCCTCAAGTAGTAACAATTAACCCTGAGAAAAAATGGTATTACAAGTGGATGACTTGGAACTACAAATAACTCACACACGTAGACAAAATCACGGAACACCACTCAAAGGCTTGAGAAACTGTAATGTGCATCATGGACGTTTGATGAATTTCAGTAAGACATGAAAGGCCTTTTTTTTCACTTTTTAATGTTTTAATTTAAACCCTATGGTGTTATTAACAACATACCTTTTTTTCCAGTTTCAATACTACTTGGATTATTCTACTAAACCAAACACCCAGCATTTTTTTAAGAAGGGGCTCCACGTTTGCCCACTAACAGAGTTTTTGTGCCTAAACTAAGCCAAAGAAGCACCGTGCCTATTGCAACCAGATACAAACATTCATTTGTCATTGGAGATTCCATAAACAGTTCTTGTAAGCTGAAACTGACGATGGGAAAATTGACTGTCTCCCTAACTCTACGCATGCTCGGAAGCCTTTTTTTTTTGTAAAGCAATGCAGTGCAGGTTGTTAGTACTGTATTCTCACATCTCTTTACATAAATCAGGCCCATTCTTCTGAGGGCAAGCCCTCTTGCCAAGTGTGTCAGGAAAGCATGTTGGGCAATCCAGTGTACAACACTATGCAAGTGTACCCTTTAACTAGAGCCCCCCATGCTTTCTCTGTATCAGTGCTGTACCTGTACAGGATGCAATATATCCATTTCCTTTCGGATCTTCATCAGGTCAAAAGCCTTCTCGTCCGGAGTGGCCAGCCCTCGTTCTGGGGACTTGCTCTGTAATCCCGCAGCTGCCACCGTTTTTCCCCTTCCCTTGCCAGCAGCCTTCTGCTCAGCTCTCTGCTCCTTGAGCCAAGTCTCATAGGACTTTTCTTTCTCCTGGGCAGCCCGCTGTTCATCTTCCACTTTGATCTTCTGCTGTTGGATGGCCTTGCGTTTGTTCTCTGCCTGGCGCCGTTCCTTGGCCTTCTTCTGGGCCAGCCAGTCATCATAGGACTTCTTGTCCCCAGAGGCCTTGGACTTGGCCTCCTGAAAGGGGCTGCAGGATAAAAACAGGAGATAAGCCATGTCACTCCATGTTCCCCATAACAAGAAGACCCCCAAAAATTGTCCATATCAAAACATATAACTTTGCTACCTCAAGTGATCCACATGGGAAGGAGTTCCACACACTGACATCACCTGACACCGTGAGCACAAACCCAATAAGGCTGGTCTCAGAAATTCTAAGCATTTTAAATTAAGCAAGCACTTCAATTTTCGGACATGCTATCACTTTTTGATGGCTGATATACCACTTTAAC